TTAGAAGAGCCCCTGCTTCTGACTACATTGCGCCTTAAGAACCCAAAGCAGAAAATAAAATGCCTCTAAATTGAGATCAATGCAGGATTAAACGGTGTAAATTTAGAGATAATTGAAATACGATAAATAGAAAATGAAGAGAGCAAGAAAAGATGCCGTACCACATCAGATCCGGCTCCGACTGGTGCTGGTGCACTGGCTCCGAGACTTGGCGCAGGAGCCTCCGTCAGTGGAGCTGGCGGGCTTGTTAATGGAGCTGGTGCGGAAGCCTTCAGCTTCGTTGGTGCTGGGGCCGGAACCAGCGCAGGAGGAGAAGCTAAGGGAGCTGGAGGTGGAGTTGCTGGAGGAGGAGATGCGGGAGGTGGAGTCGCTGGTGGAGGAGTTGCAGGAGGAGGAGATGCTGGTGGAGGAGTTGCCGGAGGAGGAGATGCTGGTGGAGGAGTTGCCGGAGGAGGAGATGCTGGTGGTGGAGTTGCTGGAGGAGGAGTGGCTGGAGGAGGAGTGGCTGGAGGCGGAGTTGCAGGAGGAGGTGAAGAAGGAGGAGGAGTTGCTGCAGGTGGTGGAGACGCTGTCACCGGAGGTGGTGCAGAAGTAGGAGGTGGAGTTGCTGCTTGTGGTGGCTGGCTAGCTGGTGGAGAGGTTGTGGCGGGCGGTGGGGCAGAGGTTGGAGGTGTGGGCGTCTGAGGCGTAGGAGGCGCCGGAGTGGATGAAGGAGAGGTGGCGGGAGCTTGGCATACAACGCCGGTGACAGCAATACATAAGAGAGCCGAGATCACAGCGATCTTGCACCGAAGCAACATGTTTAGTTGAGAATTTATCGTGCGCACCCTCTCTGCTTAACCTGCGCGACCTCTGAGAACAGGATGCAGAGCCGGGGAGGAATGTACGTGGAGATGGGGGGAAGTGATGAGGATATTTATAAATAGATCAGAAATTATTTCAAGAGTTTTTAAATTAATTAAAAAAAAAAAAGAGAAAAAGATGAAAAGAAAATGGGCGGGGAAGGCTCGGGGTTGTTTGGGAGCCCACGTGGGGGCCCTCTAGCTTTTGCACTAATTACTGAACAGATCTGGGATGGCGTGGCATCTGATTGCATCATGTGGAGGAAGCCGTTCTCTTCGTGTGCGGTTCGATTTATTTATATTAATATGTTAAGATTAAGAAAAATAAAAGAAAAGTAATGGAAAAAATAAATTTTTTAATTAATTTAATTATAATATTATCATTTATGTTTTTTAAAATACAAATTAATAATGTAGTTAATATAACTTAAAAGACATATATATATATTAAAAAAACTTTATTGTTTGAAGAAAAAGAACTTGTCTACTTTGACCCCATATTAAGTATTTATTAATTTGAATGTTTATTTTTTTATTTGTATAAAAATATAAAAAATAAATTTATTTTTAACATTAATATTACTTTTGAGATTTTAATTTAATAAATGACAAAATTTATGTCAATTTTTATATTTTTCATAATAATTATTAAAAAAATATAATTAATATACATCTAACCTATATTCAAGAATTACATTTATAGGTTATATGTATCCACTCAAACTTTACCTAAGAAAATCTGCTAATTGATAAAAAAAATGTTAATATATAATGTGACTCGATAAAAAGGGAGTAGCTTAATTTTTTGGATTGAACCAATTCCGCTTTTAAGTTCTGTGATCCTCCAAACCTTAAATGTTTTGTCTGTCTCTCTTCATGTGTGATGAAGACAGAAATTGAATGAGGAAGTTAAGGGAAAAGGAGCTTTAGAAGACAAGGTCGTTCCATTAAAAGAGTTAAGCCAAAAATTATTTGACAATACAAAAGTTAATGTTTAATTTTTTGATTATATAATATCAAGATATAGGAGGTATACTTATAAAATAATTGATTAAATTATTAATTAAAAAAACTTTTCACTTATATAATTATAATTTAAAATCTTTCTCTTTTCTTTTCACCCTTCTCTTATTAAAATTTCAATCAATTAATTTATCTATTAAAAAAAAATGTTTGGTACACCCTCCGATTCAACATTCGATTCAACATCTTTCGATTTAATCATCAAAAATATAATATAAATATAGTCCATTCAATCAGTTTTTATATCCTGTGTATAGGATTGTATTATTATACTTGTTTATTTTTAATTTCAAATTAAAAAATAATAATTTTTTAATAACTAAACCAAAAGATATTAAACCAAATATTAAAATATATGGTATACCAATCGCACTCAAAAAAAAAAATATATCCCAAGTTATATTTTACAGCTAATTATATTTAAAATTATTATGCATCTCTTCGAATTTTAATATATTTAATAACACTCTAGTTGTTGGTTGATTTCCATGTGTCAGAAATTAGTAAAATGCCACGTGGTTGGTTCTCACCTCGTTTGGTAGATGGTGAGAAAATGATGCTAGGGCTGCCGATCTGTTACAACTTACAAAAAGACTTTTGATGATCGCAAATTATTCGTTAGTTTGTTGCTTTGGCATAAATGGTTGGTTATGTGGAAAGAATTTAGACTATGACCATCCGATGGGGGTTGTTGTCACACTTCCTTTTATCTTCATTATATAATTTAATTATTTTTTATTAATTTATAATTCTTAAATAATTATTATAATATTTAAAAATATTTATTTATAAATTAATTATAATTTATTAAATAATAAATATTAATTATATTATTAATTATCAATTATTTTTAATAATCAAATTAAAATAAAAATTTACATAGCCCTGATAAATTTATGAGTGGCATGAACATAAATTTTAATTTCTTAAATTAAATTATTATTTAACTTTTAGGGTAAAATTCCA